TGGCCTCGGTGAGCAGCTGCCCGACCTGGCGTTGGCGGCGGCAACGAAGTCCACTTACAAGCGTCAGCAGGCGCAGGCAAAGACGCTGAAGTCGGACGTAGGCACGTGCAGGTTTTGTGGGGAGACTCACCCCAAGGGCCAATGCAAGGCCTATAACCAGACATGCCGCTTGTGCCTCAAGGGTGGGTCACTTTGCTAGGGTTTGTCAACAGCGGACCTCACCCTCACCAGGAACGACGTCTGTCGACTCGCTGTTTGTCAACCAGGCTGGTCCTTCTAGAAACAAGCTGGTGACGGTTGGCGTCGCGATCCAGGGAGGATCGTCATGCGCTATCGGGTGGCTGCCGGACACGGGCGCGGATGTGGACGCCATCAGTCTTACCGACCTGGATGGTATCGACCCAAGCCTCAGGATGAATCTAGTGCCGGATACAGCTGATGTCAAGGCAGCTAACGGTACAGCTTTGGATTCCATGGGCAACCTCGAGGCTCAGTTGTCTTTGAGCGACACTACCGCCGTGTCGACCCTGCACGTATTCCGGCAGCTGAAGACACCTCTGCTCAGCAAGGACACGTGCATGAAGTTGCGGCTTCTCGAGGATGGATGGCCTCACTCCCGTCTAAGGGTACAAAGCGTGGCAAACATCTCCATCCCTCGGAAGCAAGCATCCGAAGTCGCAGACACGTCAGTAGGTACTGCGTCGACGGCGGCTGAGAAAATCCGACGTACCTTGCTGAAAGAGTTTCCAGAAGTGTTCTGTGATACCCCGCTCAAGCCCATGAGCGGTGAGTCGATGCGCATCGAGCTCATCAATGGCGCGTCGCCATGCCGCCTGTATCGCGCTCGCTCCACCCCATTCAGGTGGCGGGACGCTGTGCAGAACCAGCTGTCCGACATGGTGGGCAAGGGCGTCATTGAGAAGGTGCCTGTCGGCGAAGCATACACTTGGTGCCACCCACTGGTGGTGGTCCCTAAGAAGAATTCCAGTGAGCCGCGCATCACGGTGGACCGACCATCTCGTTCAGTGGATCAAACATCTCGTTCAGTGGATGTCGGACGTTGGCGTTCCTACGCGCCTCACGACGGATGGTAGGCCGCAATTCAGATCTTCAACGTTCGCTTCGTTCTGCTCAGAGTGGAAAATTTGCCACGACCCCAGCAGCCCGTACAATCCTCAGTCAAATGGCGCGGCTGAGGCGGCGGTCAAGGCCATGAAGCACTTATTAATGAAAATTGGCAAAGGTGACGCCTATAACAGCAGTGCCTTCAGAGAAGGGTTGCTGGAGTGGCGTAACGCGCCTGGTGCAGGAGGAGCAAGCCCGGCCCAGCTGCTGTTTGGAAGGCCAACAAGGACCAAGGTTCCCACACTTCCTGCAAATCTGCAGCAGTACGCTGCCCACAGCCGCAGTGCTCCCCAGCAGGTCTCATCCCAGCTTGGCAAACCTCTGCCCCCTCTGCACGTAGGCGATAAGGTATGGATCCAGAACCAGTCTTCAAAACGCTGGGATATGGAAGGAACGGTCACAAAATGCACGAGAAGAGGACGGAGCTACACAGTGCAGACAGTGACGGGGTCCAGCTTCTGGCGGAACAGACGGTTCCTCCGGCCACGTGCATAGATTGACTGGGCATGCTTCTCTTGCTTTTTCCTTGTTGCTTGTGCGCTACGCTGTGATTTTCGAATTTCAGTTTAGGATTTTCTTTGTGTTAGTGCTCCCAAGTCGCACTTAAGCCGAGGGGGCATGTGGTGATATTGTAGCACCTTTCCCTGCATGGGTCTTGGCACTCAGGCTGCTAGTGCTACTGTTCGCACCCTAGGCCCTGCACTGCTGTACTTCTGGCGCCTTGCACATAACACATTCACATGTCACCTTTCAAGCCGCCTTTGCAGCCAGCTTCCCTTTAAAAGCCATTGCGTTTTACTGATGATTCATTCTCATCTTTCGAAGAGTTGGTCTGCCTTGAGCAGGACACAACACTATGGCAACATCCGCACCTGAGAGCAACAAGGTGTGCTGAAACTCTCCGGATTTGGACAGCAGCCCGCCTGCATTGGTCAGGAGGAGCTTCATGATTGCAGGCTGTCTGCATTCAGTTGTTGTTGCTCGGAAGACTCTTGCTGCTGGTGGTCTTCGTCCAGTTTCTTGAGCAGTGGGCTGCCGGAGTCAGGTGAATCCCCATGCCGCCGCTTGCGGTCGGGTGTGTGCACTGTACTGTCGTAGAGTGTGATCCATGTATAGATAACTGAGTGACATGTCAGTTCGACCTGATCTACAATATTTCCACTTTATAGCTACCCAGCTTATGTTACTACTGTACTAGTCATTAATGTTTTGAGTATTTTGTACATCATCAAGATCATTCTTGAAAAAAGGCATAAAATGGCGTCAAAAACAATAAAGTTTCTATGTCGCAGTCTTACAGGCTATAGCTGTTAACCGACCGTTAGGCTAACAGCTAACCGTTAGGCAAAAATGTGTAACCGTTCCAGCCCTACTTATCATCTTGTTACAGTCGTGGACCCCATCGCTGCATCTGCTGCACCGCTGCATCTGTCGCTAGGGTTTACCGGGTGTTAGCGGCCGTCGTGAGTTCCCTTCAGGAATGGACACGATAATTTACTTTTTTTACAGTCGTGGATAGTTGCTTCATAACTCGTTCCCATGTGTTTTCTTCTTCTACTTTACAAAGAGAGAATGCAAATATTTTAACATATTTTTTCAGGGCTGCAAGTGAGTGCCATGAAAGTTAATTTTAATGTTACACTCTTTTTGCTAAGGATCTCTAGAAGTCCTTTTATCCCCTTTTTAACTCACTCAACCAATGTGCGTCTTATACTTTTGGTTTGTCAAGTACAAGCAATAGTTTGGGATTGAGCTCATCGAAGAGTGTGACTGTAGTGGGAGCAGAAACCCCTCCCATCCTCCCCCTCCTCCCTCCCCCCCCCCCAGCCTGGGTAGTGTAAGAGGATGTGTGAGTTTTTTTAGGCTGAATATATTATTGAACCGTCTCTCCTGAGATGACAGCTATACCATAGCTCCGTGTTTTTAACATCACTGGTCTAAATTTTTCGAATCCTGGAAGTGGCAGTCAATTTTTCTTTACAGTGCGTTTTTTTATAACAGACCATTGTCGATTTTGATTTTTTAGTTTGTTCTCATTCCAAATTTGAAATTTTTTCTTCACAGCTGCGTTTGTGTGGGTCTTGGATCGAAGAAAATTAAGTTTGGGAGCAGGAATAATAATAATTGTCAAAGTTAGATATTCGGCCGGGTTTCGGCTGGAAATCTGGTTTTAAATGGTTTTCAGTGGATTTTGATTTTTAAACGGAAGTTTTAGCCAGGAAAGCTCATCACTTGCATGGTGCCCGGCATGAGTTCGAATCCAGTACAGTTCATCTTGATTCTTTTCTTTTTCGGTATACTGTAGTACAGCGCATGCATGTACATGTACATGCACATGGCTGTGCAGTTGTGCACTGCTATGCTGTCTGCAGTTCTCCTAACCTTTGTAGGAAACCAGTGAGTCGTGGCTTTTCACGACTTATTGTGGCAAACTGTAATTCAAGTCCTGTATTGCAATTAGCTCAATAAATCAAAACATTCCAGGATGCATGTAGGAAACTTCCCTCGATCCCTGAAAGAATGCAGTGAAAATTCAAACACCACAACAAATCACAAAGGCAATTCACACAGCTCCCATAAAGAGACTAACAAAAAGGAAGCATGAGCAGTTTTACAAACACACAAACACACACAATGCAAATAGGTCACAGTTGTGTCCGGTTCAACATCTGCAAATAGTAGAAGACCAGCGAGGAACGAAACGGCCCCATGAATTCCGTGTTTTGTGTTGCACTCGTGACGACAGTATTACACAGTGAACAGATGTGCTCGGACAGCCGACGACGTATATCATCGTTGGCGCCGGCCTCCAGTCACGAACACATCGGCGCAGTTTTTCACGAATCTGTCCCGTCCACCAGTATGCAGAACAATAACGCGCTTGCCTTTACCTGATGGTGCTTCATTTGGTTGCTTGCCTATACACTCCTGTTACCATTGTCGTACCACCTCCTAGTGCCTGTGTGACGCGCATTGACCCACGTCTCATCCAGGTATGTCTCACAGGTAGCGATGCCGCCATGACACAATCCTGTGCTGTTCCATCATTATTTGTGTGATACCTCTGGTCTTGCCACACTGGAATCCCATGGAACGCAACATTTTCCAAGAGCCAGTTTTGCTCATGTCTGGAAAATCGTCGATGGTTTCTCTGCAGCGAGCAGGAACTTTGTCCAGTGTTGGGTCCTCCTTCGCAGCATAGAATCCGTAAATTATTTCATATACAGTCCAAAGCAAATCCGTCAGGGTTGAGTGGTTTCATGGCACGAGTCTCACATCGGGGATTGTCACTCTCGTTGCCTTCATCACTGGAGACAGACAAGGCCAACGCAGCACGCTGATTTTCGCCGTCAGCATCCCTGGTACATCTGTTCATGGTGGAAATGCTGACGCCACACGCAACAGCAGCATGACGAATGGAATACTTGGGACCAATTCGATGCCCAGCCATTGTTCTCCTCGTCTTCGCAACAAATTGTAAAACAGACACCACCATATACCATGGCCCGTTCGCGTTTTGTTATAATTATGTGGCATGTCGAGAGAACAAGTTGCCACGAACGAAAAGACACTCGAGAAAAAGCAAAATAGGGCCACAGCAGTCAGCAACAAAATGATTCCTCCGGCCACGAGGCAAGGAGCTCGAAGGACACTCTGAACAAGATGGCGAAATGCCACGAGTCACACCTGGTTTTTCGAATTTCGCGCGCAGATTTTCGTGACGCAACTCGCATGACATTTTCTCAAAAGTGTCCTTGAGTACGTTCTCAAGGTTTTCAGAGTCTATTATAAAAAAACGTACTGTAGACTTTTGGTCCCTTTTCAGCACCTTCAACTAATGACAAGTCCTGTTGGTGACTGTTTGTGCGCTTTAGGCGGGCCGTACACCTATCCACCTAGCCTGCGAGAAAGGCTTGCCTGAGTGTGCTGAGATATTGTGCAATGCTAAAGCGGAGGTTAATTTGACAGACTCTGTAAGTATGCATATGTCATTGACTTTCAAGAACTGTGGCACAATTTGAGACCCGGTGTTCTTTTTCCAAACGGGTTCAAGTTTACCCAAACCAGGTCGCAGACTCGGCTGACCCGGCTCTGGAGCAGACAAAGCTATCCAGTATTGCACCAAATGGGGGGCAAATATATCAATTTTAATTTAATGCACGTTGTAGTTTCAGCCAATGAGTTGCGCAACCTGTACTGTATGCTTACCGAAAAGTATCAGACCCTACTGCGCAAGAACATCACCAAGAAATACCCGTGTTTTTCACATGAGGCCTACAGCGACATCAATGCCAAAGCTATGAAGACCGCTACAGAGCTTGTCTTAGATGATATGAGATTGGTTACTTGCTAAGACGCAGTGTTTTTTTGTGACATGGAAAGACGACAAGACTGGGTTCACTGACTTCCTCCACTGCCAGTAAAACCTCCCGCGACATGTGAACTAGGCATGGTCCGCCAGGCAGTTTTAGATGGGATCGTTGGCATGCTACGTAGTACCGTGAGCATCAACCTGTGGCACAAGTAAAAGTCGGTCATCAACTGGCTCCGCTACTTCAACGAGAAGCCAAGGAATTTCTGGTGTTCACTTTAGCAAATATTTGTCCATCAGTCACCAGAAAGCTCTTACTAGAGGCATCACCTTATGCCAGGTTGCATGTCAAAATTCCCCAGAGAGATGGTGATTATAATGCAGCAGGCCAAGAATTCCTTGCATTTTGACTGTGGCGAAGCCTGGATGAAGAAAGAGAACAATACCGCTTTTGAAGTAAAGATGGGATCATTTGATGTCGCCAAAGTGTGCGAGCTGGTGGGTGAATACATCCTAAGTTAACTTAGGCTTCTTCTTCAGGAAAGAAGCATCGGATTATGCAGCTTGATGGTTTCGCCATCCTGAGACACGCCTCCGGGCATGATGCGGAACTCACCCGGGTGCCTACCAATCTTGTCGCAAACTGAATAGCACCCCATCATATATAGACTTGCAGTCCAACTACCCACCAAAAATCCTGGAGACTATCCCTACTAGCGTAATGAAGCGGATAAGCAGCGTTCCGCGTGACAAGACGGTTTTCGAAGATACCAAACTGACATACCAGTATGCCTTTGTCGCCAGCGGTCGTCCACAGTAAATGCAGTTCGTTGATAATGCAGCTGGTAAAAACAAGGTGACCCAGAGGGAGGAGGAACACTGAGTCCTTTTATATTTTTTTCTAAAAGCCATGTGGTGCACGCAATGAGAACATGCAGCAACCATGGTGGTGGGGGCCAGGCGCTCTGTCGACCAACTGGTGTAGACATCGTCATGCTCTGGAGGCACCAGATAAATGGAAGTTTGAGGGAAAGAGAAAGAACAGAGGAAGCGGGAGGGGGGGGGGGGCGGGGGGGGGGCGGGGGGGGGGGTGTAGATTGAGAAAGGAAATACATGAGAGCGTGTAGTTCAGCAAGTTCATATAGCAGGCTTACAAGACTTGCTTGCATCTAGTTGCTGGTAAACAGGTGAAGGTGGACCATCTTCTTGAACTGAAGCATCCCGTCCTTGTATGGCTGCTGTGTGAGGATTCTCCGAGGTAGGTAGTTTCATGCGCTCAGCACGCAAGCAGGGAGAGCATTGGTGTTCTGTAGACGCGTGCTCCTGCCTCGGCACGCACCCAAACCACACAAAGAACCAGCACGCGACTTTCAAGAGAACTCTGTTAGAAAACTCTGGCTCCAAGCCGCAGTTGCTTGAAGCCTTTCACCGAACTCGTAAGCTCTACAGCCTACTCTAGCCAAATGACTACTGCAGTAAAACGTCTAGCTTATAACACTTGCATGCCAAGAACTCCATCAGCAGGCGCGAAAGAAGGTGAAGACAAAGCCTGTGACTTGAAATGTGCACCGTAACGAAAGTCACAGCTACATGTAACACAAAACGAGGGTGCATGTCAGCGACATGTGCGACCTCCTGAACAATTGGCCATGGTTGAGCGGGAACGGCAAGACAGACACAAGGGAAAGTCGTGTGACTGGCATCGCCGGGTGGAGAGACAGGTGTTAGGGGTTTCATCTGCAAGGGTCTCGTCGGTGGGAGGAAGCAGAGCTTGTACAGGAAGCTCAGGGCCGCCACCCTGCGCCTATGCTCCAGGCTTGGTACGGAGACTTGAGGGCCTATAAGCTTTAGTGCCTGTGTTGTACAGCATCCAGGCGGGCCAGTGGAGCCCCCATCCAGACTAGACAGCAGTACTCCATGGTTAGTTGTATGAAGCCGTTGTACGCAGCAATACGGCCAGGTGCTGTCATACCCGGCGCCAGATTCCAGAGAAAATGGAGGCGTTGGAGGGCCCTGGTGGCAACCTGGCGTATGTGGGCTGAGAATCGCAGTGTTGTGTCGAACAAAACCCCAAGGAGCTTGATCTCGCCCACTTCAGGCAAACTAGTACCGTTGACAGGTATGTGGGGAAGAGGTGTTGCCGGACGGTGAAAGTCAATCGTGAGTGCCTGGGACTTGGTCGGTTCGAAAGCTATTTTCCACTCAGCACCCTATCGGGCGATGGAGTCCACGGGAAGCTGAAGCTGGGTCGCACTCTCCGGGATGTCACACGTGGCCGCAATGCATTGGTAGACTGTGGTATCATCTGTGTATACACCCAGAGAGGTGCTATCTGGTGCTATGACAGTCGTTTATGTGAACCAGAAACAGGTTTGGACCCAGGATACTGCCTTGGGAGACACCAGCAAGCACAGGGTATTCTGATGACTGTTGTCCTCCGACTACAGCACGTAGTTGCCAGCAGCAGAGGTAGTTTGAGAGCCAGCCAAGGAGCGGATCACTGAGTCTGCATGCCTCTGCTGGACACCTCGATGTGAAACCTTGTCGAACGCCCCGGCAATGTCGATGGCCAGTACATGTACCATGCCGCCACTCGCCACAGTGGATGACCAGTCGTTGTGCAGCTTCATTAACAGATCTGATTTACCGAGTCCCTTCCGGAAGCCATATTGCCGAGAGGAAATTACTCCAAGCTTAGAGAAAAAGTTCATGAGACAGTGGTTACCAATATTATTGTTTCCATTGTCTTGGAGATAATGCAGAGGAGAGACGCCAGGCGCCAGATGGGCAGGTCTGATCTAGCTTTCTTCTTGTGAATCGGAACAACCCGGGCGACCTTCCACAACCTCGGTTGCACTTGCTGCTGAAAGCACAAGGAGAATAGCCGGGCGGCATGCAAGCAGAGCTCGTTGGCACAATTCTTCAGCACCCTGTGGCTTTCTGTGACGGGAATCGTCTTAGAGACTGCTTCCCCCATTCCCGTTGGCCTTCCAATCACATAATGACTTACACTCTTTCTACACGCTCTGTATGGTGATCCCCGAATTACTTTTTATTATTCATGCATATTGGACAACTATTTCTCTACACACATCCTTATTCTACCTCCCACACCGTACTCTGAACACAGCAGGGAGTTGATTATGACTCCCTGCATTTATTCTGAAATATGAAGCTGGCCACGACGAGGGTTTCCCCTCAGTTCTTGGTTAGTCCAGAAGGAGTGAGTTCGATGTGTTGTGTCGACTGGAGCTACTAGTAAATTAGTATGCTTACCGTTACATGGTGCCAGAACTCGTCTTGAGCATTGTTTGTCAGGCTCTTGAGACTCCACGCCCGTCTGTTTGTCAGCAGGGTTGAGAACTCGGGATTTCTGTTCGTCGGAGAATAGTTGTAGTGGTTCCGTTCGTCGGATAATAGTTTTAGTGTTTACGTTCGTCGTAGGAAAGTTTTAGTGTTTCCGTTCACGGCGTCGGAGGATAGTTTTCGTGTTTCCGTTCGTCGGAGGATAGTTTTTGTATTTCCGTTTGTCGGAGGATAATTGTTGTGTTTCCGTTCGTCGGAGGACAGTTTTAGTGTTTCCGTTTGTCGGAGGATAGTTTTAGTGTTTCCGTTCGTCGGAAGGTATTTTTTTACTTTGATAATTCAGTTTGTCGGAAAGGTTTTTGTTTGTTTGTTAGTCAGCATGGACGTAGCCCAATTAGCTTTTGCTCGCCAGGAGCAGCTCCGGGGATTTCGCTGTGACGGCCATCTGTCCATGGCAGGGACACGCACTGATGTCACCCAACACCTATCCAGGCTATTGGCACATCGCGTCGATGTCGTCTTCGAAGACGTTGCTGAAAATGACGCGGAGGCGGAAGGCTGTGGAGATCCGACGCCGAGTGGCGACGCTGTTCGCGGGTCCATGCGTGGCAGAACCGGTCCCTATCGCCCTATCGAGTCCGCTGGTACTGGATGCGTACGCAGACGGCCAAATGCAGCCCAGCTACACTCCCGAGGCCATGTGGCAAGGGCTCTTTACAGTTTTATGGCCCTGCAACCTAGACAGCGTCCATTACGAATTTGACCTGGGTCCTCGCCGCGACTTCGCACCTTTCACCTGAACTAATAATACTTACATGCAACTCTGACTTGCCACTTTCACCATGTTCGTTCAGTTCTCAATACACTGAGGACTCCTCTACCGGCCCACTGTTGGAGGTGGCTATATCTCAGTCGTCGCAATCTGGCTGCATGCGACTTGTGAAGGGGGAAGGTGTGACGGGAATGGTCTTAGAGACTGCTTCCCCCATTCCCGTTGGCCTTCCAATCACATAATGACTTACACTCTTTCTACACGCTCTGTATGGTGATCCCCGAATTTCATAACTTATTATTATTCATGCATAATGGACAACTATTTCTCTACACACATCCTTATTCTACCTCCCACACCGTACTCTGAACACAGCAGGGAGTCGAATATGACTCCCTGCATTTATTCTGAAATATGAAGCTGGCCACGACGAGGGTTTCCCCTCAGTTCTTGGTTAGTCCAGAAGGAGTGAGTTCGATGTGTTGCGTCGACTGGAGCTGCTAGTAAATTAGTATGCTTACTGTTACACTTTCATGGGATTCAGTGTTCTGAGCTCTCTTCTGACAGTATCCGTTCGAAAGTGA